ACACAAGGACACATTGCAAAAATAAATTTAGATGGGCAATATTGTGAAATTAATTTGTATATAGCTGAAAATTGTTTTATATACAGCTATAACAGTTAAACATATATTGTAAAATTAATTTAGGTTGGTATACCTGTATGGGTGGTACACCTGGATGGTTTACCTGTATGGGATATCTATATAGCATAAATAGCGTCAGCTTCGCGTTAGTTTCTAGTTTAATCTTCCTCATTGAAGATGATCAATTGGTGATCGAAACACTTGTCGAGGTGTTAAAAATAATGATTTGGAGCTGGGAAAAAACTCCAGTAATATTCATGTAAGTACACAGACTTTAGTTGAACAATTCTCACATAAAATTTAATGAAAACTATTTTCTAACAATAGTGTGAAATAAACAAGCATTATGTAGAAGTTGCAAAGCTTGAAGTCTCAAATCAGTTGATTTTCTGTGTGTGAATACTATGACGAAACGAAGATCAATACTATGACCAAAAGTAGTTTCAACTCAATATCACGAGAATTATTGTCTTAACTATAATAGGATAGCAATAATGTGAATACTATGAGTGGGCGTTGTCCAATAACGCATTCAGCCAAGCTAGCCTAGAGATACGCAACATATGGATACCAAAAATCAAGCGAAAACCGGCCAACTACCGCCAAACGGTCAGCTCCCGTTAAACCGGTGAAGTGGAGAGACGTAAGAGGGGATAAGTGAAAGCACTCGAATGACCTATAAATAGTCATCTCTCGGAGGAATATGTCATCATTACCCGAAGCCGATTGTGGATACTAACAATCGAAACGGGCGACTTTTTCATTTTTTATTTTTAATTGTTCATATTTCAGTTGCTGCTTGTATTTTATTTTATTGTAATTTCAGTTCAGGTTTTTTTTGCTGAATATAATTGTTATTTTCAACTATTCTTTTCAATTTTATTGATTCTTTCAGAAATTTCAAATCATTTTATATCATATTAGACAATGAAAGTCCGAAGTAATAAAATTCAACATGAAACATTGTCAACCACCTTCAAACAAAGATCAAGTTCGTCAGTGGATTTGTCTTTGCTTCAGAATATAATCATAAAATGACATCAAATGTGTTACTGATTTTAAAATATATATGTATAAAAAACGATGAGAATATATTTCTGTTCAACATTTATATGAAGTCACAAATCAATATCCCATTTCAGTATCTGAGCGATTGCTCACTTAACAAGATCAATATTACCAAATACATCAGTCATTATAAGAGGGAATATACATTTATTGAGATTTCGAGTCTACCAGGAAATTCCTTGTTAACACGTGATATCTAAAATAGAAATGTTCATGTCTTACAACAATAAGTCTATTTGAATGATCTGACATGCTGAAAATATTTTTATTATAACGGAAGCACATCTACAAAGATATCTACTTCTTTGAAGTATAAATGTAAAAAAATCAAATTATATTTGTTTCAGATTTGTCACTTCAAGAAATATTGACAATTATTCATAAATAAATTTTCACGAATACAATTTATGCATTTAAACTAACACATTCCTTTTTACAGAGTAATTCCATCTAT